TTTGAGACAGAGTCTCACTTTGTTGCCCAGGCTGAGTGAGTGCCATGGCTCAGCCTAGCTCACAGCAACCTCAAACTCCTGGCTCAAGCAATCCTTCTGCCTCAGCCTCCCGAGCAGCTGGACTACAGGCATGCGCCACCATACCCGGCTAATTTGTTCTATATACTATTAGTTGGCCAATTAATTTCTTTCTATTTATAGTAGAAGACGGGGGTCTCGCTCTTGCTCAGGCTGGTTTCAAACTCCTTACCTTGAGCAATCCACCCGCCTCGGCCTCCCAGAATACATTTAATTAATTATGAACCCGGTGAGAAGTTGAAACTTACACAGGTTTCAGAAATTGGCCAAAGATACATGAACGGTAAGTAGCAAAACTGAGTTTTAAACCCTGGCCTATCTGACCCCACAGTCCATATCTTTCTTCCTCTTTTTGTTAGTTTCTAGAGCCATTTTCTGGGACTCTTAGTTTATGATCTTTACAGCGTGTTACAGTCTCTTACTCATAATGCCAGTGTGATTACCTGTGTGTACTCACTGTGAGCTGTGTATTTAACAGTGCCTCAGACTTTACCACTTGCTAGATCACAGCAGGCGTTCTGCCAGCTCCCCGCCATCCACCCACACCGGGCCTGTGGCCAGCACCTCTTCAGAGGGCAAAGGACAACCCCTGACTGTCCCAGCCTCCCTCTTGCAGCTAGAATAGTGCCAAGGCTGGCCTGGAAGTCCTTGTTGGGGACTTCTGGGGCTTTCTCCCCGACAAAAGGAGAGGCACTGGAGGGAATGTGGCCTGCTTTACTGGATATTGTCACATCAGTGTGGGTGCTCCTCAGGCAAAGCCTAACCGAAATTGCCCCGGTGCACCCACCCGGGTCCTGGGACCTCAGCGGCTCCCCTGGCCCCCAGATGTTTTATTTACACCCTTCCCACACAGAGGACACAGGAGTGTAAGTTATTTGTAGGATGACTGCTATTTGAAGTAACATATATGTGTGAAAATAACATTCAAAATCCTAGCATGCTAACTTCGTTTGGCTTATTGATACATTTTTATGTAGTCAGTCTTCAAGTGAACAGTTCTTACCAGCTCATTCAAAATCCTGACCCCAGGAAAAGGAACATTTTGGATTCTGGAGTGGGAGGCTGAGACAGTTTTTAGAGTCCTAGTCCAGTAAACTTTAAAAATTAACCAGGCCCGGCGGGGGCACGGTGGCTCACGCCTGTAATCCCAGCACTCTGGGAGGCCGAGGTGGGCGGATTGCTCGAGGTCAGGAGTTCGAAAGGAGCCTGAGCAAGAGTGAGACCCCATCTCTACTATAAATAGAAAGAAGTTAATGGGCCAACTAATATATATAGAAAAAATTAGCTGGGCATGGTGGAGCATGCCTGTAGTCCCAGCTGTTTGGGAGGCTGAGGCAGTAGGATTGCTTGAGCCCAGGAGTTTGAGGTTGCTGTGAGCTAGGTTGGTGCCACCGCACTCTAGCCTGGGCAACAGAGTGAGACTCTGTTTCAAAAAAAAAAAGAAAAAACTTAACATTAACACCCACACTCCCTTATGTTTTCCTTTTAACAATGCTAAAGAGAGATATGGTATACCTTTTTTACATTTAATTATTTATTTATTTTTTTTTTGAGACAGAGTCTCACTTTGTTGCCCAGGCTAGAGTGAGTGCCATGGCGTCAGCCTAGCTCACAGCAACCTCAAACTCCTGGGCTCAAGCAATCCTTCTGCCTCAGCCTCCCGAGCAGTTGGGACTACAGGCATGCGCCACCATACCCGGCTAATTTGTTCTATATATATTAGTTGGCCAATTAATTTCTTTCTATTTATAGTAGAGACGGGGGTCTCGCTCTTGCTCAGGCTGGTTTCAAACTCCTTACCTTGAGCAATCCACCCGCCTCGGCCTCCCAGATACATTTAATTAATTTATGAACCCGGTGGAGAAGTTGAAACTTACACAGGTTTCAGAAATTGGCCAAAGATACTGAACTGGTAAGTAGCAAAACTGAGTTTTAAACCTTGGCCTATCTGACCCCACAGTCCATATTCTTTCTTCCTCTTTTTGTTAGTTTCTAGAGCCATTTTCTGGGACTCTTAGTTTATGATCTTTACAGCGTGTTACAGTCTCTTACTCATAATGCCAGTGTGATTACCTGTGTGTACTCACTGTGAGCTGTGTATTTAACAGTGCTCTCGAGACGTTTACCACTTGCTAGATCACAGCAGGCGTTCCTGCCGCAGCCTCCCGGCCATCCCACCACACCGGCCCTGTGGCCAGCACCTCTTCAGAGGGCGAAAGGACAACTCCTGACTGTCCCAGCCTCCCTTGCAGCTAGAATAGTGCCAAGGCTGGCCTGGAAGTCCTTGTTGGGGACTTCTGGGGCTTTCTCCCCGACAAAAGGAGAGGCACTGGAGGGATGTGGCCTTGCTTTACTGGATATTGTCACACCTCAGTGTGACTTCACCACCCGAAGAACACATGGCAAAAAATCATGGATTCAATGAGCACAGGAGAGATTTCTTTTTACGTGAGATACTAATGACCTTAATGTAAAATCTGTCTGATGTGTACTCCATTCTTGCAGCCAAAATCATCCTAGCTGATCCACATATAAAATATGAAAATTCCACTTTTCTGTTATAAATAAAACTTAAGAATTCCCATTGTTAGTTATGGCATATATTTGAGGTGGATTTTCACTGGTTTTTAAAAGATTTCTTCTTCTTTTTTTAAATGAGGACATTACTTTTGGATATGAAATACACAAGTCCTAGCGAAATCATCTCCAAGGACCATACATACATCTTGGAACTGGGCTAGATCCTGCATTATGATGCTTCTTTGTACTGTCAGAATTATTTCACACAGGTAAACATGATTTGCCCAACGAGGCCACAAGCTCTTCAAGGCTAACCACCCCCTCCCCTGATCCTATGCCCACAAACAAGTCTTTAAATCTCCTAGAGCACACTTTGATCTAAATTGGATCTAAATTGCCTCAAAATGTCAGGAAAAAGAGATTGATGCCCAGGACCCCCGTCTGAGCGACCGCGCAGCTGGGATGCAGCAGAGCGCTGCCCCTTGGTCTAGGCCCCCTGGTGAAAAGCCTCCCCCAGTCTTCCTGTTGATCTGAATCGCCGCCATGCTTTTCGCTTTGTTAGGGTTCACACATTTAACCACTTCGGGATGAGCGTCAACTATAGTCAACAGCCACCCATGAACACGCACAGCGACTTTAGCCGACAGCTGTGATATGACTTTTCTAATTTTTCATTTAGCAAAATAAAATTGTGAACATTTAAAAATAACGTAATGAAAACATATATGTGTATGTAACCTATTCTGATTCACATGACAAGTAAAGCTGCCTGTAAAGGAGAACAAGCTTCAGTGCTTTAAGGCTTTCCTCGTCACACAAGAGCAGAACGGACGCGTGGTCAACGCACAGCACAGACCGCCGTGCGACTGTGAGTGCCGCTGCGGGCGAGGTGTCGCAGCCGGTGAGCATGGTCCCGAAGTGGTTAAGGACTGGAACATGAGAGGGTCTGAGACATGACGTAGCAACCCCATGGATTGAGCTTTGGGGACCAACATGTGCCTGGGCTGATGGCATTTCAAGAAGAGCAGCAGCCAAGGCTGCTTAGGGCAGGGTGCAGTCTCCTCTTCAGCACTGATGAAGGGCAGAGCCTCTTATGATGGGAGCAGGCCTGGTTCTTGCCGTCTTCCACCAACTTCCAGCTGTGTGACTTGGGGCAGGTCAGTTAAACTCTCAAGCACAATTCAGTCGCACAAAGGAGATCATCAGAAAGGGCTAAAATTCATACACATTGTATACATGTGTCAAAATATATGTACAATATTGTACAAATTATGTATGACTAGGATATATCAATTTAAAAATAATAGTTGTGCTTGGCGTTTTAAAACAAATTTTTATAGCCAAAGTCAGACAATGTGAGTTTGCAAGATTATGCGCTCACCATGGTTCTAGTTCAGACTCCACTATTTACCAGCTCTTTAACCTGGGCCCAGTAACACTGTATTTGGAGCCTCGAGTGCTTTATCTATACAATGAGGATAAAAACAGGCCCTAGCAAGTCTGGGGTGAGGATTAGAAATGAAGTAGGAAAAGTGCCCGATGCTGTCATTGTCATTGCTATTCCTTCTGCATGGGCTGCCATCGGGGTTGAGATAACATGTAGGAAAGGCCCCCCAGCGGGGGCTGGGAAGCGCCTGTAGACCACAGCCAGGACGGTGGGCACTGGCGCCGGCTCCGGCAGCACCTCGAGTGACAGAGGCTCCTGCCGACCCCTCCGCCGCCCTTGCACATGCCCTGCACGGGACTGCACGGGACCACACGGCTCACCCGTCTCCCCAGCGTGGAAGAAGTAGGGTAGTTTGACACCCTGCTTGACAGGAATCATCAGAGCCTCCTTGTAGTCAAACAGGGAGTGGCCGGTGTCCTCATGCCCCACCTGCAGGACCGAGAAGAGGGACATGGAGTGTGCTTCACTGCGGCCCATAAACACCCTTCCTATGCCCTGCACTACGCGCGGGACCCTTGTCACACAGTCTTCTAAGCATGACCAGTAGCAAAGCTGGGTAAGAGAGAATGTGCTGTTGCCCTGAGGCAGTTGCTCCCTCATTCGGAGGCTGAGCCTTGGACCCTGGCCCAGCCCGCCTGTCTCCTCTCACAGCAGTCGGTCTCCAGGCCCTGGCTTCAGCCCTGGCTCCTGGGGGCGGGCGAGGGAGGCGGGCGCCCCTGAGCTCTCTCTCAGGCTCACAGAGAGGCAGGAGAGGGGAAGACGGCATGGGAGGAGGGAGGAGTTCCTACCCTCTTCCTGAGAGGCTGGGCCCTTCAAGCCCTCCGGAGGATCCCAGGAGGACACCCTGGGTCCAAACACAATGGCCCTGAAATCCACGCCTTTGGGCTCTGGCTGTTCTGAAACCAGGAGTGTAAGCGCAATCGCAGGCTATGTAAGAGGGAGTCGGGAGCCTCCAGCCTGCGAGGCCAAGTTAATGCAATGAGATTGATGAGTTTTGCCACCCAGGAAGTCTGGCCTGGCTGTGGCTTCGATTGGGGGCTGTGAGGGACAGTGGGGGCTGTGAGGGACAACACCTGTGGATATGCAGCTTCAGAAAGGGGTGGGGAAGCAAGTGTGTCAGAGAAAAGGGAAAGACAAATGTCACATCCTTGAGGATTTGCATTGTGGACTCTGCTTCCAGACACCACCCCACCCCAAGTACTACAGGGCGCCAGGGCAGTTCTAGGAGCCAGATATAGCTGACAAAGTGGGATTGAAAGAAGGGCAGAAGGCAAAGAAGGGGATCGGGGCTATAATTATTGTCGACATGCCCTGAACTCCGTCCTTGCTCTGGAACTTTCCTTGTTAGCCCTCTGGCCCCCTGCTCTCCCTTCTCCCATCACTGCTGTCCCCCCAGGCCCCAAGAGATGGGCAGCGCTGCCAGCTCAGCAGCCTGAGTTTCTCCCAGGGTTTCAGTGGGTGCAGCAGGCGCATGGATTTCCCTGCACGAGAGCTGCCCGCTTCACAGACGGCCCTTCTGTTCAGTCATTACCAGGTCAAACCCTGCCACCATGTTGGGGAACTTGGTTCGAAGATCCATGGCTGTTCGGATGGATTCTTTGATGAGAGACACGTCTTTGGATCTGAGAGAGACAGAGAGATGCTAGGAGACAGTGTGACTCAGCATTAAAGTCATAAACCCCAGAGGGGTTCCCTCTGTGCCTGGCACCACTGCCACATGACCCCACCCCAGCCAGGCTATTGTGACCTCTGAGAGATATTTAGCCCAAATCCATTCCTATCAAGGACCCTTGCTGGCTCCAGGGGGGGGCAGGGGACTCAAGGGAAGAGAGGTGGCAAGTGGCCTTGCCCCAAACTTTCCCTGGGGGTGGGTCATGGAAGTAGACACAGTATGGAGGCTGGTTTTCTGTCCACTGGACACCTGTGAAAGGCCACAGGTCATCCGAGTCCCTGACAAGTAGGCTGGACCCGGTAACCATCTGGCCTCTTGCTGATTAAGTCAGCAAGACCCTGGGCACTCCAGGAACCCCGCAGTGCAAGGAGAGCAGCTTAGCAACAGAATCTGGCACAAGCCCATAGACAGGACGAAGGTCTGTGCCCGGTCGCTGGCTCACCTGTTCTAACCCTCACTCTACCGGACTAAGCTGTCTTGGCAGCTCCCTCCCCCACAGCCTAGGGGAACTTGTGGGGCCACCGATCCCCTCAGCTCGCCTCTCACACTCCCCTGCCACCGGCCCAGGGAGGGGGCAGCTGGTGCCAGGGAACCGCTGAGCAGAGCCAGCTGGGCCCCTCCTGCAAGCTCCCTCCAGGGAGGACCAGCATGCAGATGAGGGGCTCAGCTCCTGCCTCCCCGTGCCCCACGGGAGTGGGGAGGCCCCCCGAGAGTCTGATTGCCCTCAGAGCCCAGCCGCATCCCGTCGGTGTCCCCCCTCCCCCACAGCCTGGCTTGAAGTGACCCCGTGTGACTGCTGCCCCGCAGCTCTGGCCGAGCACAGCCACGGCCCCAGACCCGCTGCCCTTCAGCACGCAGGGAGAGCCTTTCACTTGGTGAAGCCACAAAGCTTTCTGTGCTTGCCTGGGAAGGAGAGTGGGCCCTCACCACTGCATGTGCCAGGCCGCACACTGTCACTGCCGTGGGGTCCCCACGCCCAGACTCCACTCGGCGCCGCACACAACCACATGCAGAGCCACCCCAGAGGCAAATTGAAACAAAGAAATGGGCCCAGTATCCAAACATTCAGGCAAAAACACTAGGCTCATTACTGAGTCACCCAGGCTAGCGTGGGGTTACAGCCTAGAATCATCTGGAAAATTGTCACAGTTCTTCATTTCAGTTTGGTTATGAAGACCCAAACTAGAAGTGATTTCATGGATAGATCCAGACTTTTACACTCATGCACAAACGCACACGCTGAGCCCACAGCTCTCTGGCATCAGGCCCAGGGGCTCCACCCACCCCAGACTCCTCATTCTGTCCCTCCCCTGCAGCCCAGCGCCTCTGCCCACATCCCCCAACTCTGGCAGCTGCGGCAATCCCTTCTCACCTGTGATCCGAGTAGATGATTTTGATTCCAATAAACTCGGGGTGAGTTTGCACAAACATCTGAGCCACGTCCTTGTAAGTCTTCACGGACCAGTCCTTGTCATGGATCTCCCCGTTCAGCTCGTACACCTGGGGGCAGCAGGTCCCAGCAGGCGTCAGAGGCAAACAGGGAAAGGCATCGTTGCCAGCTACCCACACCCTCCTTGCTCAGTGGCCTCCACAGCCTCTGACATTTCCCCACTGCTTGATCGGAAGTCCTGGCCCCTTTGGGGCTAACACTCCGTGACGCCTGCCTGTCTCGCTCATTGCTGCGTCTCCACACGGTGCCTGGCACACAGTAGGTGCTCACTAAGTATTTGTGTAAGGATTGAAGAACAGGTCAGCGGGAAGAGGTCACAGCGAGAAAGAGTGGCCCAAGAATCCATGTCGTCTCCCTGCCGTCCTTCCCACTCCCCTCCCCACCTTCCCCCTCCAGGCAGAGCACCCAGAGGCAGTCACTGCCACCAGGCAGGGGGAAGAGCTAGGAGGGGTGGTAGGTAAGACAAGGGAGGAAGAAGCTGAGGGAAAAGAGGTGCATAGAGGGGAGGGGTGTCAAGACCCTCGAGAGAGTGCCGCTGGCAGTGGGCATTGAGCCAGGCCACAGTCTCCAGGGAGTCGGCTCGCTGGGCCCCTCTGCCCTCCCCTGTCACTGGGCCAGGTCTTACCCCACGCCACGTGGCTGTGCGCGCGGGCAGGTCAGGGTGAGGACAGAGCGTGGGAGTTTCTGCAGAGATTATGGGGTGCAGCAGGGCACGGGAAAGAATGTGCGGGCTTCGATTCCTTCCCTTGGCCCTTAGTGAAGCCCCTGTAAAGTCTGAGGAGCGGGCTGAGCACTGGAAGGGATAAAAAGAGCTGACGAGATGAGGCCCCTGCCCTCCAGGAGCTGATGATCCAGTCAGAGGTGGACTCCACCTGTTTGCGACACAAAGCAGGAGGAATAAGTAGGAAACACAGGTGGCTGGGGCTGACAGGAAGCAGCAGTCCGTTTGAGCGATGGAATCTGGAGCCAGGAGCAGGGTGCGCAGAGGCTTCAGGGAGCCCAGAGCTGCTCCTTGTCCTAAAGGGAAAATCCTTTCTCCTCATGGAGTCAGCCCTTGTGTACCTGGCACTGAGGGAGCTGGGTCTCTCAGGGACCACCTCCTCTGCCCGTTGTTGGCCCCGGTGCCCCTCACACCGGTCTTCCCAGCCTGGGCCCGCCTGGCTGCAGCCATGGGGGGCACCACCCGCGCCTCCTCCTGGCCCTTGGGCCTGCCGGGGTCCCGCTCCGCTGCCTGAGCTGGGGGCAGTGAGAGCCGCGGCTCGGCCCTACTGGCCTTGCCCTCTGTTTCCTCTGCCACCACCCGGGAAGCCTGGCACATCGGTGTCCCCAGAAGGTGCCCCAGCCAGGGCAGTGGGCTCACTGTCCCCAGGCGGCGTCCCCAGAAGGTGTCCCAGCCAGGGCTGTGGGCTCACTGTCCCCAGGCGCAGTTCCCCTGGTGGCTCACGCAGCAGCAGCAGGCGCACCCAGACTGCTGAACATTAAGGCTACCAGGACGTTCTGGGGAGAGCCCTGGGCACTGTTAACCCAGTCTGAGCTACTGCCCTTGTTACTATTAGTGACGGGGATCAGAACATGCCACCCCAACATACGCCACTTTGGCGTGAGGATTATTTGAGCTGAAGGCGATTAAGCAGCAGCCAATGCAGACTGAGCTCTCTGCCCTCCCCACCTGCCTAAAAGCAGGACACCGATTTCCCTTCGTGAAGGTGTCCCCACCTTGAGAGGAGGACGCGTCTTTTCAGTGGAGACAGAAAGCTGTCCGAGATGGGTCTGCACAAACAAGCCTTAGTAAGATAGCCCACATCTTCCGTTAGTTTTCCCATATATTTACCTTCCTACAATTTACTGGAAGCCCAAACCCCTTTTCTTTGTCTTGCCACTTCACAATTTACCACCACGCGTTAAAAGGGTGTATAAGCCCCGCTCTAACTTCTCTGGGCCTTCACTCCTGGATGAAAGCCTCCACCTATCTGTGCACATAAAATTAAAATAGTAACATCACATAAAATTTGCATGCCCTTTTCCCTGTTAATCTGTCTTTTGTCAGTGTAACTCATGGGCCCAGGCAGATAACCTAGGAAGGTAGAGGGAAAGTTTTGTTTTTACCCCCTACGTTTCCAAGGATTTCAAGAAGGAGAACTTCTCCTCCACTGATCATGGCTTCGACAGCTGTCTACGCACCCTGTTCGGGTCTTCAAGTCTTTGATGCTAAAAGAGCCCATATGCTGTAGCCCAGCGGTTCTCACAGTGTGTCGGGAGCCCTGTGGGTCCCCTAGATCTTTTCAGGAAGTCTATAAGTAGTCAAAATGCTCTTCACAATAATTTGAAGACATCACTTGTCATTTTCACCCTTATTCTCTCACGATATACAGAATTTTTCTGAAGCTGCATCATGTGTGATGATGTCATCCTGACAGATAACAGACTATAAACTTGTATTTCAAAAACTTCTCAATTTTAATAATTAATCAGGATGTATCAATAGATATGATCCACAAAAGTAAAAGCTGTTGGAAATCCTCAAAAATTTCTAAGAGTATAAAGGAATTCTGGGACCAGAAAGTTTGAGAACCACTGCGTTAACCCAACCCAGAATTGTCACCTGCAGGTGTCTTGTCATCGCCCAACTGGTTGGCACGGGGAAGAACAGAGTCTGTCCATGCCTTGACTGCCCTGTCATTATTGAGTCTCCTGCTCATAGCCCCTAACTGGAATAGAGACTCCTGGAGGGTACAGTCCACACGATTTTGATTTCCTCACCTCCTTGCCTATAGCACCAGAGTAGGAGCTCCACAAATAAATATTAATTCAAGAAGAATGCTGTCTACAAGTCATTTTAAAGGTACTAAGCCCGAGGCGGCATATTTTAGGGAATGGATGGATAGACAACTATTGGAAGGGTGGTGGGTAGAGCTGCGCTAGCAGAATAGAAGGGAGACAAAAGAAATAAACTTAAAAAAATCTACAAATGGCCGGGCGCGGTGGCTCACGCCTGTAATCCTAGCACTTTGGGAGGCCGAGGCAGGCGGATTGCTCAAGGTCAGGAGTTCGAAACCAGCCTGAGCGAGACCCCGTCTCTACCAAAAATAGAAAGAAATTAATTGACCAACTAAAAATATATATACAAAAAATTAGCCGGGCATGGTGGCGCATGCCTGTAGTCCCAGCTACTCGGGAGGCTGAGGCAGGAGGATCGCTGAGCCCCGGAGATTGAGGTTGCTGTGAGCTAGGCTGACGCCATGGCACTCACTCTGGCCTGGGCAACAAAGTGAGACTCTGTCTCAAAAAAAAAAAAAAAAATCTACAAATGACAATTCTGCCTAAAAGAAGATCTCCGGCAGATAAATCAAGCATGCAAAGATATGCAAATGATACAACTAGGGCCTGATGGGGCCTTACAAATGGCAGTGGTTCCAAATCATCAATCCTGTCATTCCTGTGCTTATCACTGGAGAAGCTGGGCCTCGTGCCTTCAAGGTTCTACCCACACTGCTCCTTGTCATAGCACGGAGCACCAGGTAGACAAGATCTGGCTCCCAGGGCTGCACCCCCATTCAGAGCCCCTTCCTAGTCTCCTGTGCCCTGTAAGTCACCCCTGAGGCTGTCCATGCCCTGCACTCCTGCAGCTCCGGCCTCTCCAAAGAAACTGCAGCCTCAAAGGAAGGGAGTGCTTTGGGTGGGATTTGAATGCTCAACTGCACTCCCACTTCCATGAGAGGAGGCCCCCTTCAGGGAGGGGAGACCTGTAGCTCCTCCCAGCCTCCCGGCTAGGTTGGCAGGCATTTGAGGGAAGGGCTCTGCTGGTTTGGGGGTTCTGGTCAGCCTTTTGGATTCAGGCTCCCAGTGGAGCTACAATCTGTCCCAAATCAGTCATACCTCAGGATTATTACAAAGATCAAATGAGTTAATATTTGTAATGCATTCAGAAATGACAACTCTTAATAATAATGTTATTATTACAAATCTATCATCAGATCTAGGAAAACAACTCAAAACCTACAGTTGTCCTAGGAAGATGAGTTAATATCTAAGAACTCAACAATTTGTAAGTACAGGTAGGTGGTGTTAGTTGTTCGTCTAAGTGATGCAAAAAGCTGCTGTATCCATGTAAAAAGCCTTGAATTAAAAGCACATTGAACTCAATTTAGATTACTTCAATTTTTAACTATAGTTTAATTAAAGAACTGTAAATTTGTGGGGAAATTATTCAAACTACATACTACTTACATAAACCAATATAATATTACGAAGTTTTACTGTTTTCGATGTCAGCTTGAAGGAACTGTAGGAAATTTGGGAGCAGATAGTTGCTCAAGGTCACACAACTAGTTTGTATCAAACCAGAAACTAGGATTTAGGTTTCTAATTTCTGATGCAATTAGCCCTCACTACTAGAGCATCATTCATTTACTAAGCTTTGAGCTTCTACTAAGTGCCAGGCATATGCAGAGAGCTTCACATCACGATCTCATATAATCTCAAAACTACACGAGTAGGTAGGTCTCATTTTATAGATGAGGATGTAGAGCCTTAAGGAGGTCTAGAAAGTCAGCCTGCTACATGGGTAGCGGGCTGGGTTCTGCCAAGGCCAGAATCCTGCTTGCCCAGAGGAGTCTCCCATTATCTGGGGGCCCTGCCCCCACCTGTATAAAGGCCACACTGTCACTTGAGTGACAGGCCCAGGGTCTCAATGTCTCTGCCTTGGCTTACCTCGGAATCACCCAAGGAGAGGAAAAATGTCTGGGTCCCACCCCAGACCAATCAAATCAGAATCTCTGGGCTAGAGTCTGGGTTTCTTTAACCCTCCTCAGGAGATTCCAGTGACCAACGCACAGCTCTGGGGTCTGACAGACAGTAAACAGCACAGCTGTGGCACAGCAGCACGAGTGCGGTCATAAAGGGGCCCTTACGAGGGAGTGTCCTCACAGAGTGAAATGAGGACATGAAACGGCAGTCACTTCTGCAAGGGGCCAGGTGGAATCCAGGCAAAAGCACTTGGGGGGAGGGGCTGGGGAGTACTAGAGTACTTGTCACACAAATGGCAGCATCCAGGAAAATGCTGGAACGACCCCCACAGCTCCTGTCTGCCCTACCATGTCTCTTTCTCAAGACCTCCCATCTAGGGGCCCACAGGACGAGGGCCCGCGGGTGACCTCCCGGCCGGGACTGGCTCCATGCTAAGTCCTCACCAGGACCCAGTCTGGGCCTCCAATTCTGGCTGTGGGGGAAGGGACTGGAGCCCAGGAGATAAGACCCGCCTAGCAACTGTTGCCATGGGCAAGTAGTCTTTGTCATCTAGCGTTAGGAACACAATGGGAGGCTGAGCAGCCAGGACAGTCCATCAACTTCATTCCAAGCCCTGAATTAGCCCACAACTGAGCAGGGAGGTGAAGCGGCTCAGAATTCCAGGAAGACTGTTCAGCTGCTAGCGTGTTGCTGGCCCCCTGTCTGGCTAGTGGCGGGCGTTAAGACCTACACTCTCTGTGGCAAGAGGCCTTTGTTCCAGGGTCAGGCCAGAACAAATGGCCAAATCCCATCCCCCCAGCCCCCACCAGAATCTGAAATCCCAGCAGCCAGCACCTCCAGAAAGGCTGGGGGGGCAGAGGGGGGGCAGAGTAGGAGAGAGGAGGGAGTTGGGCACCCCCACATTAAATGCCCCAGGCCCTCGTCTCTCCACCTCAGACCCAGGGCCTGAAAATACTCGCTCTCACCTGCAGGAAAGGGGAAGGTGGGACTAGAAACCAGTGCTCCAGCCTTTCTCTCTTTCCCTCCAACCCCAGTTCTCAGCAACTTTGCCCAAATACTTCCCATGATGCTCAAGATGAAAGTCACAGCCCTTCGAACCACCAAGAGCCAAATCCTCTCCCAGCCTTTCTCCCTCCTTGGTCCTCCTGTCAGCCACTGCAGCCCAGCATTCTGCAAGGGTTGAAGGTTCTCTCCCCGCTCCTCACACCAAAAAAGTTGGCAGGATTTACCCAACAGGAAGCCACTCCCCTGCCAGGGCCCAGCTCATCCTCAGGATAGCCACTTTTCCCCGAAAGTGGCAAATGGAAGCCGGATGGCCTCTCAGGGACCTCCTTTTGTGATGAGGTGGCTACCATGAGGCCCAGAGAGCCCAGCTCAATGAGGAAAGCGTCCAGTTTGGGAGCCTTGATCTGGTCACCCCTCGCAACCTATGTAACCTTGATCAAGCCCTTTAGACTTTTCTGAGCCTTAGTTTCCACATCGATAGAGTGAATTAATATCTTCTCTAAAACAGGGTTGTGAGGCTCAAAGGAGATGATGGAAGTGAAGAACTTTGTGAAGGTCAAGGTGAAGAAGGTGCTGTCTCCAGGTGGGCCTGGGTGGGGCACCTGCATCAGAATCACAGGGAGGGAGCCCAGATGGTCACTAGTTGTCAGCTTCCTGGTCCTACCCTACCACACAGAATTAGAACCCTGGGAGATCAGGGTCCACAAACAGCACCTCCAAGTTATTCACAGGCACCTCAGCATTTGAGAAGCCCCCAACAAGCATGACTGTCACCACTGGCGCCTGCTGAGGACACCAGGCAGCGTACAATCCAGTGCCTGAAACAAGTCACTGTTGAGTTGGGAAATCAGGGCTTATACGTTATGACATAAATAACACCGGGCGACACATGTAGGTGCTGGAAATAAACATTACAGGGAGCAAAGGCCTACTATTTTCTTTTGAAAGATAATTTGTGCCCAGGTCTATGTACCTATCTATCCGCTCTGTCCTGATGAGATACCCTTCCCCTTCCAACGTAGACAGGCAGAGGAAAGTCCTCACCCCATTTCTCAAGAACCAGAGATGGAAATACAAGTCTGCACTCACGGAGCCAAAACATAAACAAGCAGCAGACCCATGTGGGGGTAAGCCAAGTCACCGGAGAGACCGGCCCCACCTTCCCGGGGTGCTAGCATAGCTGAGGGACAGGGGCTCAGTCCAGGCTCCAAAGAAAAGGGAGAGTTGAGACTCAAGGAAGCTTTGTCTCAGATTAAGGGACCCACAAACTGGAATAACTGGTTCTTGGGGCAGGTTGTAGCCTTCATGACAGAGTCCCAGAATGCTTTAAATAAAACTGAGGGTAGGAAAGCTGATTTAGGAATCTCAACCAGGATTTTTGAAAAGGAAACAATGCAAAAAATCAGAGTTGGTAAACACTGCATTGTTTCAGAAACATTTGTTTCATTTTATGGATGCATATGGATAGGTGTGAAAATATTGTCTTAAATATTCAATTTATTGTAGTACTTATTTGTTTCCAGGGGAAAAGGTGATACCTTTTTGTTTGTTTTTCTTTTTCTTTCTCCCCCCCCCTCCACTTGAGACAAGGTCTGTCTCTGCAGGCACCGCCTTCCACCCCAGTAGAGTTCAGTGGCATCATCACAGCTCACATCATCACAGCTCACAGCTGCAACCTCAAACTCCTGGGCTCAAGTGATCCTCCTGCCTCAGCCTCCTGAATAGCTGGAACTACAGGTGCGCACCACCATGCCCAGCTAATTTTTCTATATTTTGTGGAGACAGCGTCTTGCTCTTGCTCAAGCTGGTTTCAAACTCCTGGCTTTAAGGAATCTTCCCGCCTTGGCCTCCCAAAGGGCCAGGATTACAGGCATGAGCCACCACATCCAGCCATGGTGTCAGCTTTTAACATATTTCCCAAAGGTTAAGAACACTGTTACCAACTCTTAAGTTCTCAGAGCTCAGTGACAGGGCTCATTAGGGCTCTAGTTCACCAAACAAACTTCTGACTATTTGGCTTCAAGGAGAGAATTTCCTGATTAGGAAGCATAAGTATCTGGTCTGAATGATAGTTTCATTCTGAATTTCTTGTTTATACATTTATCCCTGATGAATTTGGTCAATGTGTATCAGTCCTCTGGAGCCCTATCACTTCTGGGTCTACAAACAATAAAATTTCTGAGCTTATAAAGATAAAAGAATATGCTAAAAAAAAAAAAAAAAAGCCAAAATGCTGCCACCCTGTGGACTCTTCCACAAGCTTGAAGGTCAGTCACCAAGGTGTTTACATACTCAATAAACATTTGAACAAATGAGCAGATTATTTGGGATATAATGTAGAGGAAACTCTACCCACATGTTACTTTCCCCAAGCCACTGAAAACCTTGAATCAGCTCAAACCCTGTGAACCTCAATCATGCCCACTCCCTCAATACCCTATCTTCCCCCCAAAAAAGTCCTCAGGAAAGTTACCTTCAATAGACTCACCAAAGGAATTTTCTAGTAGTATTTGATCACCTAGGGCTGCTCTCCACGAAAGACCCTTCCCCTTCCAACACACAGCCTGCATTCCCCCAGCTCCAGTCTGTAAATCTGGGGTGGGTCCATGTCGTAGTACCCGGAATCCGAGTCACTCTTTGCTCCTGGCCAAAGTGCAAGCCCCTAGAATCAGACTTTTATGATAATGCTCTCTCCTTTTAGACTCTTCCTAATCCTTCCCATTTCTCTCTCTTCAACCTTTCTTCCTTAAAATCAAAATAATTTTAACCTCTTCTTAGAGTTAGGGCTCCATGGACCCCATTTTCTTAGCTGACTTTAGGAGATCCCTTTCTGCGCCTCAGCTCTTGCCATAGTTCCTTCACTCCTCAGTCTTCCTGGGCACACTGGATCCCAAGGGACTAAGGGTCCCCTAGGACTTGCACTGCAGTGGCTCTGCCTGGGAGCTCTCACCAAGCAGCTCGGTTCTGACAAAGTGAGCTCATCCTTACTACTTTCTGCCCCAGCCCCATCTTTACAGGTCACTTACCGCCTCAGCGGCCACCCCGCAAGTTCCCCTTCTTTCACCTTCTCTTGTCTCTGTCCTTCTGCCCACCTCCTAGTCCCGCCATCTTCAGCTGAGAAGCCTCCCCTGCACGCCAGTTCTTCGCTTTGTGCTTCCTGCTGTCCCAGGCTCAACTGAACCGTTTTCTGCTCCGTGGCAGGTAATACAGCAGGCACCGCCATGGTGCAGGCCCCTATGGGATCCTGTCTCCCCACTGCGGTGCAGGCCCCTATGGGATCCTGTCTCCAGCCTGGGCTGGCCCAGCCTCTCCAGGGAATCGCTCTCCCTGTCTGGGATCAGCAACCTGCCCATTTCCCAGGAGGTTCTCTTGAACACCCACTGCCCTCCCCTGACTGCCCTCGGTCTCAGAGGGTGTCCTCGCCTGCACTCTGCAAACAGGAGGGCCAGGGTGGGCCCTCCTCCCTCAGCAACCAAGGCCACCCCAGTGTCATAGCTGCCCTACACCCACCTTCCCTTTGGTCTTACAGAACCTTCTCTGGTTGCAGGACACTCTCACTCCCTGGGTGCTGTGGTGGCCACAGCCTGCCCTCTTCTCCCCTGCCCCCCATTTTTAACCTCTCCTTGCTCCTTCCTTATGTGAACAGAAGTCTCTCTACCCTAAAAAGAAATCTCTTGTACCCTGTGTTTTCCTCTAGCGACCTCAACTTTCTTTCTGTCAAATCACAGTAAGGGTCTTTAATCAGCCAAACCCGGCTGCACTTTATCACCTACATTTCATTTTTCTACTCCTAGAAGTTGGCTTCTCTTCTTAGCATGCCACTAGAACTGCTCAAAGATGCCCTCCTGATGTCCTGCCATGTGGTCTTCTTTACTCCTGAAGCCCCTTCTCCATGGCCTCAGGATGCCTTTGTCCTCACTCTCCTCCTCCTTCTCCGCTCCCACCCTGTGTGTCGCGGGGAGGAGAGAAGTGGGGAGCCACGAGAAAGGGGCAAAGGGCAGTGGGGGTCGTGTCCCCAGATTTGCTGGGGCTGCCCTGTCTGTTTCAGGTCTCCTTGCTCACAGTGGCCCCTGGGAAGGCACCTGTCACCTTGCACCAGAGACCTGGGGTAAATTCCTGAGCACTGAGACCTACCAGGCAGGCTCTGAACATGAGGCCTTGTGAGGCAGGACGGGTGGGGCGGGACGAGCAGGCTCACCGGCTGCAGCATGGCTCTGACCTCCAAGTAGAGCACGTTGTCCTTGTAGAACTCCTCCAGGCTGCGGAGGATGTAGTCTCTGAACACTGGCGCGTAATGGACAAGGCCGGAGATGGTGAAGAAGATGGTTTCAAATTTGGCCCAGACGACATTTTGGTCTAGGTAAGTCACCTCAGGGTCCTGGGTCGTCAGAGTGAAATTCCTCAGCAGGCTGTCCGAGACACAAGGGGAGTTGAGGAGGCACCCATAGGGCTACTGCCCCCCTAGTGCCTCCCACCCGGAAGCAAACCGGGATGTGTCCCAGTGAGCAGAGCAGGAAGGGGCAACGGGAGCAACCCGTTGTCCAGTGTGAGCCTGGCCTCTGGCTGGGAAGCCACTGCCTGCTCACACTCCCCGAGAGACAGCTTGGAGGGGAGCGCCCACAGCCAGCCCCTCCCCCGTGGTGCTCCTATCCCATTCCAAGCTCTCTTTGGGGGGTCATGGATGGAATGCATCTCCCACAAATTCATACATTGAAGCCCTAACCTCACACTGCCTGCGTTTGGAGGCAGGGCATCTAATGGGGTAGTCAGGGTTAAGTGAAGTCCTAAGGGTGGAGCCCTGATCCAACAGACCAGTGTCTTACAGGGAGAGGGAGGGAGTGGGGGGCACCCGCACAGGAGACCGCAGGACACAGCAAGAGGGCAGCCTTCCGCACACCAAGGACAGAGGCCTCAGGAGAAACCTGCTGTCCAGCAGTTCCAGCTTGGACTTCCAGCCTCCAGGACTGTGAGGAAATAAATTCCCATTGTTGAGGCCACCCAGCCCGTGGTTTTCTGTGGCGGGAGTCTGAGCACATGGCTGCAGCACGCGATGGGAGTCATTCTATACTTGGCACCACACAATCCAGGTGTATGTCCCTGATTTGCCATTTACCAGCTGTGAGGCCTTGAGCAACTTACCTAACCTTGCTGTGCATCATGTTTCTTATTTCATAAAGAGAAATAACCTCATGAAAGCACTGTGCCTATGACTAAAATAATTGTTATTATAATATTACTATACATGTCTGTTAGGAAGTTGTTCCATTATGTTTTCAAGCTGTTTCAGCCACCAGCCAGACTGTCACTTCAGGAGCTAGGAACTTTTCTTCTCTCTGTTCTTACTGAGTTTCAAGACAAATCTCATTTGCAGCAATAGTAGTGTTGCTGATAAGGCCTTTTGCAGATCAAATCAGATTTTAAATGCACTAGGAAATTACTATGGACAGAAAAGGTGCTGATTGCTTTTGTGAAGCAAAAGTATCCTGTAAAGTTAAGGGGAAAACTGCCTAAACCCCTTTTGAGGCCAGATTTTCATATGTGGGTCTGTACCAAGGGAGACACACCTGCACACTGCACACCCTGTGACAGGCCCATGACACCTGCTTTTGGAACTCCCACTCACCTATTGTCAAACTCAGTGACATTCTGCACCTGCTTCCGATAATCCTCCAGCAAAATCCACTTTGAACAGTCTTCTGTCATAAGGGTGGCAGGAGTTGGGTCAGCAAATTTGAACTGCACGGTGCCCCGGGGAGTGAAACAGATGTGGCAGTGGGGCCTATAGGTGACGTTCTTCACCAGCCAGTCCATACTCACGATGCCGAAGTCATGGAGGTGTAAGGCAGCCCCTGGAGAGGGAAGGAGAACGGAGGACCAAGAGGTGGAGTGCAGGTGCCAGGTGTGGGGCTTGCGGGGCAGAGTGGGTGCACGGGAGGAGTGGGAGCAGGAGCTCTGCCGTCTGGCCCAGTGGCTCAGAACTGATCCCGGCTCCCGAGCCCCCCCCTTTCCTGCCCGTGTCTGCCCCGGATAGCTGCTGCCTTCCGTGCTCAGTTTGAGAGTGGAGCTTCTTTGTCTTCCTTTCTCACTAGTCAGAACCATGGGCGGTCTTGTTGGAGAGGGGCAGCAGGGTGCGGAGGAAGAGGCTTGGAATCAGAAGACGGAGCTTCAAGCGGGGGCTCCCTCAGCTTCCAGCTCTCTGTTGGGAGCCCCAGCCTTTCAGTGATGCCTTGCCCCCAACACTGTATGGGCAGAGGCAAGAAGAATGAGCCTGGGGCACAGTCCTGTCTGCATGCTTGTCCTTGATCCTCTCATCCTGCTCCCCAGCCACCCCCAACCCCAAACCCCTGCTGGCTTTCCCCAGCCCTGGGCCTGCATCTCTGCAGCTTCTGGCCTTCAGGCTTCACTCTTGAGGCCCCACACGTGTCCTGACCAGATGCCAGGTGTCTCTGGTGCTCCTCATGATGCAGTGCATCCTGCCCCTCTGCCCTTTTAGTCCATGCAGCACCTTCCCTCACAGCCTCTGGACAGGTGTCCCTGCTGCCTGAGCTTTGGCATATCGCCTCTTACCATCCCCATTAACTGGGTATGCTACGTTACTGACCTCACCATTATTTTTTCAAAAGTCTCTATTTATTGGCCGGGTGAGGTGGCTCACACCTGTAATCCTAGCACTCTGGGAGGCCGAGGCGGGCGGATTGCTCAAGGTCCAAAGTTCGAAACCAGCCTGAGCAAGAGCGAGACCCCATCTCTACTAAAAAATAGAAAGAAATTAATTGGCCAACTAATATATATAGAAAAAATCAGCCGGACATAGTGGCGCATGCCTGTAGTCCCAGCTACTTGGGAGGCTGAGGCAGAAGGATCGCTTGAGCCCAGGAGTTTGAGGTTGCTGTGAGCTAGGCTGACGCCATGGCACTCACTCTAGCCTGGGCAACAGAGTGAGACTCTGTCTCAAAAAAAAACAAACAAAAAAACCCAGCCTGAGCAAGAGCGAGACCCCGTCTCTACTATAGAAATAAATTAATCAGTCAACTAATATATAGAAAAAATTAGCCGGGCATAGTGGTACATGCCTGTAGTCCCAGCTACTTGGGAGGCTGAGGCAGCAGGATTGCTTGAGCCCAGGAGTGTGAGGTTGCTGTGAGCTGGGCTGATGCCATGGCACTCACTCTAGCCTGGGCAACAAAGTGAGACTCTGTCTCAAAAAACAAAAAACAAAATAAAACTCTATTTATACCATTTTTTTAAAAGGTATAGAAAAATCCTTGTAAGCTGCAAACTGCTATTTATATATAATTTTACTATTCATAGAAGTGTGTTTATATTACCCCTTGATGCCACATAGTATCATATCCCATCTGGTAACTTAGCCCCTTTCTCCAGAAAGGGTAGAAGAGAGGCCATGAGGAGACCTCTGAAGGGATCAGTACGTTCTCTGGGCTCTGGGCACTGTCTCATGGTTAGATGCTTTTCCAGCTTTGTCAGGGAAGACCTGGAATATTCAGGCCAATTCTGACTGTCTTTGAAGCCAAGTCCCCTAGGAAGCAGGAGTTTGGGTTTCCATACTGAGCCAACAACCACAATCAAACACCCCTTCCTAGACAGCCAGTACAGACAAAGGAGCAGAGAAGCTGCATGGAGTTCTCTACTCCGTTTAGAACAACAGCTCCAATAACAATCACAGCTCCAAGCTTAGTTCAGCTACCTTCCCAAGATCCCCAGACTCCCCCCCCCAACCTCTACCTTTTGGCATCATCCTCAGGATATTAAACACCTGACTTTTCTCAATGAGACGCTTGGCCCGGAAGAAGTGCATGCTGGGCGGGAACACCAGGGTCTTCATGGCCTTGGTCATCTCGGCTATTTTGATGGCCATCAGCTTCTCGTTGGCCTGCTCCTCCTGGGTGTTCAGCACCAGCTGCCCACCCAGCCGCATCATCTTCTCCTTCATCAACAGGTGGGTCCGTACTTCATCTATGGATAGGGCTGAGCCCAAGAAAGACACTGCCACAGCCAACAGCAGGAAGTTCAGGGTTGGCCACCCAGATGGGTCCCCCACCGCCATTGGGATGCCTGGAAGAGGAATGGCTCAGATGGAGACACCATAGGACTAGGAAGGGAAATGAGTACATGAAAATCTATAGATTTAAGGGTCATACTCTGATTTTCCTTTTCCCACCCTGTTCTCAGATTATCAGGAGGCATAGTATATTGAAGGATTTTTTTCTCCAAGAACCCAGAGAAAATCTTCCAGATCAAGATAGGTAAGGATTTCCCTAATGAAAGGTCACCACAAGGCCTCCAGTAAAGTTTTAAGTTCAATAAGCTCTAGCTCACTCATAAAGACATTGAAATCAGATATTTAGTGTCTCATTTTAAAATATAGCCAGCTACTTGGGAGGCTGAGGTAGGAGGATAGCTTGAGCCTAGGAGATTGAGGCTGTAGAGTGCTATGATCATGCCTGTGAATAGCCATTGCACTCCAGCCTGGGGAACATAGTAAGAGCCTCATCACTAAAATTTTGTTTTCAATTAAAAAATTTTAAAACTAGCAAAAGAAACAACCAACAGGGTAAAGAGACAACCTCACGAATGGGAGAAAATATTTGTCAATTACTCATCCAACCAAGGACTGATATCCAGATTACACAAGGAACTCAAACAACTCAAAAATAAAAACAACAAATAATCCCATTAAAAATGGGCAAAAAAACATGAGTAGATGTTTCTCAAAAGAAGACATACAAGTGGGCAACAGATACATGAAAAAATGTTCAACACCACTAATCATCAGGGAAATGCAAATCAAAACCGCAATGAGATATTATCTACTCCAATAAGAATGGCTATTATTTAAAAGACAAAAAATAACAGATGCTGGCAAGAATGTGGAGAAAAGGGAACTCTTATACACTGTTTGTAGGAATATAAATTGGTACAATCACTATGGAAAACAGTGTGGAGATTTCCAGAAAAACTAAAAATAGAACTACCATATGATCCAGCAATCCCACAACTGGATACTTATCCAAAAAAAAAAAAAAAACAAATCAGTGTATCAAAGGGATGCCTGCACTCCCATGTTTAATGCAACATTATTTACACTAACAAAGATATGGAATCAACCTAAACGTTCATCAATGGATCAATGGATAAAGAAAATGTGGTACGGGCCGGGCGCGGTGGCTCACGCCTGTAATCCTAGCTCTTGGGAGGCCGAGGCGGGCGGATTGCTCAAGGTCAGGAGTTCAAAACCAGCCTGAGCAAGAGCGAGACCCCGTCTCTACTAAAAATAGAAAGAAATTAATTGGCCAACTGATATATATATATAAAAAAAATTAGCCGGGCATGGTGGCTCATGCCTGTAGTCCCAGCTACTCGGGAGGCTGAGGCAGAAGGATTGCTCGAGCCCAGGAGTTTGAGGTTGCTGTGAGCTAGGCTGACACCACGGCACTCACTCTAGCCTGGGCAAGAAAGCGAGACTCTGTCTCAAAAAAAAAAAAAAAAAAAAAAAGAAAATGTGGTACATATACACAATGGAATACTATTTGGCCATAAAAAAGAATGAAATCCTGTCATTTGCAGCAACATGGGTGGAACTGGAGATCATTAAGTTAAGTGTAATAAGCCAGGAGCAGAAAGACAAATATTGAATATTCTCACTTATATTTGTGAGCTAAAACGCTTGATCTCATAGAGAATAATAGATACCAGAGACTGGGAAGCATGGGTGAGTAAGGTGACGAGAGCTGGTTATGGGTACAGGCGTGCAGAAGAAACGTATGTATATTTGAAAGTAACTAGAAGAGAGGACTTGAAATGATACCAACATGTAGAAACGATAGACACTCAAGGTGATAGGCACTCCAAATACCCTGACCTGATCATTACACGTTGTTTGCTTGCAACAAACATATCGCAGGTACCTCAAAATACGTACAAGCATTAAGTATCCACAATAATTAAAAATTAAAAACAAAATAAAAATAAAAGATAAATCTAAAAGAGTGTCTTGTAACTTATCCTAGATATGCTTTTTGTTTTCTGCTTGCTCCCATGATGACAGGCTACTCTGTCTGTCTGATGCGCCCCAGAATTCAGGTTCCACTGTGGAATACCTTTCCTGTAGCAGGGGAAACATAAATATGTATTGGCTCAAGTTAAATGTATTTAATTAAAAAAAGTAAAAATTTAAAAAATTAAAAATAAGTAAATAAATATAACCAGAGAACAAAGGACCACGAGACATGTGAAGAAAGACTCCAATGTGAGAAAGAAACCAAAACAAAACACACAGTGCTAAGGAGACAAGGGGAAATGAAGCAATATAGAAAAATCCAAAGAACTATAATTAATATCCTCAGAGACAAAGGAAAAGACATTGGGCCTGTAAAACAAGAACAGGAATTTATAAAAAATGAACACAGAATGAGAAAGCTTTTTGAAGTGAAAAATATAGTGCTGAAATTTAAAATTTTTACCAGCAATATTAAAAAGTGAAATGGGCCAGCCGCGGTGGCTCACGCCTGTAATCCTAGCACTCTGGGAGGCCGAGGCGGGCGGATTGCTCGAGGTCAGGAGTTCGAAACCAGCCTGAGCAAGAGCGAGACCCCGTCTCTACCATAAATAGAAAGAAATTAATTGGCCACCTAATATATATAGAAAAAATTAGCCAGACACGGTGGCGCATGCCTGTAGTCCCAGCTACTCGGGAGGCTGAGGCAGAAGGATCCCTTGAGCCCAGGAGTTTGAGGTTGCTGTGAGCTAGGCTGACGCCACGGCACTCACTCTAGCCTGGGCAACAAAGTGAGACTCTGACTCAAAAAAAAAAAAGAAAAAGTGAAATGGAAGAAAATCTTTTAGAAAGTAGAACCAGATAGGAGAGAAGAAATTGAGATGATTATTGCTTCAGGAAATCCAACACCCAAGCAATGGACATTTCAGAAGGAAAAAGAAAGAAATAGGTGGGAGGAAATAAGCAAACAAGTAACACAAGGGACTGTCCCGGAACCGACGGCAAAAGGCTTGTCGAGCACCTGGCACAGCTGCATGCATCATTCAGTGGCCACGCCTGACACATCGCCTTGATAGCTCAGGACACTCGCATTCAAAGATGATTCTAAAAGCTTCCAGACAGCAGCTAGTCCAGGCTGGAAGGAACTATATTAACCACCTCCTCGCACCAAGCACTCTATTCGGCCCTTTCCCTGGGCTATCTATGTGAATTACATTTAAGAATTGTTTCTATGTCCTTGGAAGTATGACCCAATATACAGAAAGAATCAAGACTGTGACTGAGGAGACCCGAGGAAGAGCCTCAAACTAGTATCAGTCCTTAACCGTGCCAGCACGCAAAGCACTGTGCCGTCTGTGGCCTCAGTGTCCTCCCCCGCAGAACGGGGTGCTTGGCCTGGAACAGGGGTTCTCGGAGAGTGATGAGTATCAGTGACACGAGGTACAACTTGAGGTGGCTCCTAACTGAAGATGGGCGATTTTGATAGGTATGTAGCTTCAAAGTGTGTCTTAGCACATCAACCCCCTGATATCATTACTGTTATTGTTTTGGTTTAATTAAAGAATTTAAAGTAAGTTAATTTAAAGAAAAACATTAAATAAATAGAGGTGCTGGGATGTGACAAAAATGGAAAGTCTGGTAACTGTCACACTGTGTCATGCCCAAGACGCTTCCCAGCTCTAGCGTTCGATTATTGCACAGGACATCAGCTACCAAGAGGGAATTTTAAGAAGGACCAGCACCACTCGTCCCACAGTCACGGGAGGGCTGCACCCCCTGCGCCGCTGTTCAACGCCACTAAGTCCTCGACTCTCCTCTCAGACTAAGTGTCTGCTTGCAGCTGAGACCTCCAGGGTGAGGAGACAGTGACGTCCGCGTCCCACCCCACCCAGCCTGTGCTGCGTCCTCCATCCACTGGCCCTAGCCTTTGTCCCTTTCTTCCTGGTGACACGTAAGCACCATTTCCTACTCCATCCTCTCCAAGAAGGACCCAAAGCATGTGTGTCCCAGCATCCGGGGGCCGTTCCTGGCCTGCCAGACAAAAGTTTAGCTAATGCTGGTCAGGACCAGCCTGGTCGAATACGAGGAGAAATAATTCCTGTCAACACCTACTGCTATACCTACTTCATCTTCTCTCCCTCCACAAAATTTTTCTGTTACTTTTAAAAGAAGGTGCTTGAGAACTCTGGAAAATAGTTTGTTTCCAGACTGAGAAGAAAGAACCAGGCCATGTGCATCTGTGGCTCTGAGTAACTGTCTTGGGCCTGCAACCGTTTCAAGAACCTGTAGTGGGTAAAGCCTGTTCCTCCTCCACTGACAGTCTCAGAACCCTCTGGTGGGGGCGTAGGGGGTGGCAGGAAAACAAAGCCCAAGCACCCCACTGCCCAGCTACCTCCTGAGTCTTCCCAGCCCAGGGCTCCACCCAGACCCCCACGCAGAGGACCCCAGTTACCTCCGAGCAGGGCCAGAAACTGCGGCTGTTGCTCAGTGTCCTCCACAGCTGCGCCAGAAGCACAAGAAAAGCCCAGCAGCTGTTTCACTTCCTGCCGGGCAGGTTTCGCTTCTGTCCAGCCTGCGCTGCACTGACCTCTCAGAGCCGCAGCAGAGGGGCTCCGCGGGCCGAGGCTGGGGACAGCTGGCTGTGGGGTTTACATGCGTGCTTGGGCGTGTGCGTGAGCTGGCGTGCGGGAGGCCGCGTGTCTGTGTGCGTCTGAGTTCCTGTGCACGTGGGTGTCTGTGTGCTTGGGGGAGGCGTGCGTCTGTGTGCAGAACAAAGTTTTGGGCAACAGGCGCCAACACAGAGGCACTCCAAAAGCTGTTCATGATTTTTGGGAAGTGTCTCCTGCCTCAAAATGTGACTGTGCATTGAGGGGTGACCCATCAGACAGAGGGCGAAAAGGTAGCCATGAGGAAACGTGAATGTGTCCGGGGGAATATCCAGGAAGTGGCAGCACAGAAGAGGCGACAGGGAGGTGTGAGAATAGGAGTTGGACCTCGCTCCACAGCTGGCCTTCCCACTCCAGCTGCATGGCCTTGGCCGTGTCATTTAAACTCTCTGTACTTCAGCTTCCTGATCTGAAAATGGAATAATGAAAGTACCTGCCACATGGAGTGCCTTGTGAGAGTTGAGTGAAGAGTGTGTGCGCACTGCCTGGTGTGGGGTAAGCTCTTAGTAATCTTAGCCGCTGCTGGTCTTGGCAGTAGCTATTCTGACGCATCCTCCGGGCCAGTCAGATGGAGGAATGGGAGCCTGCACCCAGGACTGCAGGGCCCACATACCCAGTCCCACTCGGATCCACCCCAAACCCCAGGGCGCGCCGAGCTCTGCTGCTCCCATACACCTGGGACCTCTGGGCTCCTATTGTCATCTTCTCCAAACAGGAGGAAATCCAAGCATGAGAAGGTGGAGCACTTAGAAATTTCTCATCAGAAGTTCAAGCTTAATTTTTCGAAAGTCGGAGGAGTGAAAAGGCACACACAAGCAGTAAGGAAAAACAAATTTGATTAAATCAGAAGGGCAGATCACCAATTTTAAAAATAAATCATTTGAAGAGTTGTTTTAAAAAACCAAATCAACGCTAAAGATCAAGCCTTCTCTCCAAAAGCTTTGGCCAGACGCAGGAGGTAGCGTTCACATCTCCAAAGGCCCATGGGCCCCAGGCCGTGCCCCGTGGAGGCGCGGGGGCAGGCAGCCCCTGGGGGCGGGCGGCACTGGAGGCTGGAGCTCCTGGCCAGGCAGAACCTGCCAGGTGGGAGTGGAGGACCAGATCTTGAGCTGGGAACTGAGGGAAGAGAACGGCTGGCTGGCGCACGTACCTGCAGTCTGGATCAGAAGCGACGAATCAAAGCAGCATCAATGGCGGAAGCCCACGGCAGGCTCTGCAGAGGTGCAGGGGCAGCTCGTCCGGAGCCAACCTCCTGGCCTTTTGTGGCTGGAACAAGCTCCAAGGACGACTTTTATGGCTGGAGTCACCTACCAAGGGGCGTCAGCCTCCACTCAGGTGTGACTCTGAGCATTGTCTGGCAGGAGGGGTGTGGCATCTGACGACAGTGGGCACATGTGGAGGATGTGAGCAAGAATTCTGCAAGAATACTTTGCCAAGTGCGGAGACCGTAAAATGTGGAACGAGCCTGTTTTTTTACATTCTATTGAAGATGACCACCGGAGGCAGAAACTGGGCTTGTGCTCAGAATCTGAAAATCTGCAGGGCAGAAAAAGAGACCTAAAGTATCTTTCAGTGACTACAAAACTTAACTTACAGGGAAAGAAGCCTGAAATGACAGGAGGAGTATGACCCTGAACATATGACAGGAGAGATTTTCAGAATTAAAGATAGTCTATGGCTACACAGATATTTGAGAGGTGTTTTCAATAAAACATCTGCCTTCTCTTGTTACAGGGAATCACATTCTGTTGCTATACACAACCTAGAGCAGAGCTTGGGGGGGCTACCTGCAATTTAAGGTTTAAGGTGTTGCATGTGCCATTTTCATATGAGAAAAATAAGATTCTCTGACCCCCAGAGTTAAGAAATTGTAAATAATAATTGCTAAAGTATACTGAGAATTGTATATACTCCATATTTTTATACCCATTTAATCCTTGCAGTGATTTTATTTATTTATTTATTTATTTAATTTACTTTTTTGAGACAGTCTCGCTTTGTTGCCCAGGCTAGAGTGAGTGCCGTGGCGTCAGCCTAGCTCACAGCAACCTCAATCTACTGGGCTCAAGCAAAAAGTTAGCTCTTTTACTGAATTGCTGTGTGATTTGGGTTTTTGTTTTTAGAGACAGTCGCACTCTGTCATCCAGGCTAGAGTGCAGTGGCATCATCATAGCTCACTGCAGCCTCAAACTCCTGGGCTCCAGCAATCCTCATGCCTCAGCCTCCCAAGAAGCAGTAACTATAGGTGCATATTGAATTTGAGTCTCCCAAGCCTTTTTCCCCTACTAGTCTCCCAGACATCAGCAACTAAGTTATACCCACAGTTAAGAAAAGGGCCTGTGGAGGTCTTTTTGATGAGGCTTTCTCTGGGGTTTTAAACAGCTTCATTGAAAAAAACTAAAGACTGACAAGGACTTGCCAGATCGCTGTATAGTAATGCTCATGGCAACACTGCCTTTCCCCTGCCCCTCCTTGCCCTGCCTATGTACACAGAGCTTATAACATCCTAGTCTTAAATTAAATATAAGCACACAGGCAAGATGTACTACATTTGAGGAATACTGTTTTATGACAGAGAAAAAAGTATCTTGGAAGACAGACTAGGAGAGAAAAGAAAGCTTCATCTAGCACGCCAGGGCTGTGCCGCGCCCCCGTCCCGCCTTCCTGTTCTGTGTTTCCTGCTCAGCCCCACGCCTCGCACGGTGCTGGCGCACAGAGGGCTCCACACAGATCTGCTGTTATCGTCCCTTTTGGGGAGATAAACGCTCACAGGCATACCCAGTGAGGGAGGAGCCTGTAAGTTCATGTCTCTTGGTCTTGTGACAGTGCAAACTTTGAGATCTCAAACTCAGCTTAACTCATCTCCAGCCCCCTGGCCCCAAGCCTCATCCTCTCCCAGTTTTCTCAGACAGCCTCCGATATTGCACCCGTGAAATAGGAGCAGGATGCCATAGAAAAGGAATAGCAAAGAATGAGAAGGAACTTCTAGAAACAATGATAAAAGAATACAAAATGAGAAACAACAGAAGAGTTGAATGATACAATTAAGGATATCTTCCAAAAAGTAGACCAAACGGACAAAGGAAAAATTGAAGGGAAATTTTTTTTAAAGAATGAATAGTTCAAGAACTCTAATGTATGAAAACTCTATGTTCCAGAAAAAACAGAGTGGAGAAAATTATGAAAAAGATAATTCAAGAAAGTATCTTAGAACTGAAAGACACGAGAATCCAGATTGAAAGGCCTCTTGGAAAGTCCAGCACAATAAATGAAATTGAATCACACCAAGAGCCCTCATGATGAAATTTCAGAACAATGGGGACAAAGCAAAGAACATAAAATCATTCAAAAGAAGAGAGCAAACCAGGAAAAGGAATGTAGGAGATCCAGGAAATAGAGGATCTGACAGAGAAAGAAAGGAAGTCTCCAGACTGCAGGTCAGGAAGACGCCAGCCCAGAGCTGCACAGCGGACACCAGGGCAGTGGGCCCGGCCGGCCGGGAGCTGGCCAGAAAGCCCCAGGGAGAGAATTTATCGAGTTGGAGCTAAGAGAATACCTTATGTGTCTGATTGTATGCATAGGAGTTTCACATAACCAGGGGAGAGTTTGAATAGGTGAAAAAGACATAGAAAACTAAGCACAAGAAAAAAAAATATGACAATTATTAACTTTGTGAAACACAAAGAGTTGTGCAGAAAAGGAGATGTTACCATCATAAGCCACAGAGCAAAGTGGCATCTACATGGGCACCCTAATGCAGGCACTGAATATGGAGCTAACAAAACCAGGCCATAAATGCATTGGGATGATAGAGGGACAGGAAATTCGTGTGGTCTGAGTAGGGGCCAGAGCTGAGAGAGAGCTCAATCTTCACCTTCTATAGTGGGAAGCAGCAGCTAATGCCTGAAATAGGAAATAAAAAATCAAGAGTAGCAATACAAAGACTTACAGGGATATGGAGGAAGAGACTAGAAGATTCAGCTAAGGACCTGACAAGTACTTGCTGCCTCCCGAGAGCACAGAATGGCAGGTGGAGGGCCGCGGGGTATGGGTCCACCCCCATGGAATCTGACTCTTCAAACCAGGGGTGTGAGTGCAACGTCCAGTTAGGACCTTCTTCCTGTTTTCAGGTTGTTGGTGCTGCCAGTAAAGTGACTCTGGAGGAGAATTGAGAAATGAGCGGTGTGGCACAAACCACAGGCACTACGCCCGAGCAGAGCCCAACAGACCATCCCTAACCCAGGAGGGAGGGCTCCTGCAGAGGCTTGACTTCGTGGCTCCAAGCAGACCGGAAAGTAAGACTCAGGGACGCAAAAGCTCATGACTTGGAGTCATCTGCCCCGTGGCTGGCTTCCCCACTAGACCTCAGCACATTAAACATTTGCTCACAAACGGTGAGCATTCACTGAGCACTTCCTGTGTGCCCAGCGCTGTGCTGAAGCACTTCGCCCGCAGTCTCGTGGTCCGCAGGACAAGCCCCGAGGGAGGCGGCCCACCCATCTCACAGATGCAGAAGTGCAGTCTGATCAAGTATTTTATCTCACGCAGACGGTGCCACGGCTGTGCCGCGCCCCCGTCCCGCCGCCTTCCTGTTCTCGAGTTTCCTGCTCAGTCCCACCGCCTCGCGCACAGAGGGCTCCACACAGATCTGCTGTTGTTGTCCCTTTTTTGGGGAGATAAACGCTCACAGGCATACCCAGTGAGGGAGGAGCCTGTAAGTTCATGTCTCTTGGTCTTGTGACAGTGCAAACTTTGAGATCTCAAACTCAGCTTAACACATCTCCAGCCCCCTGGCCCCAAGCCTCATCCTCTCCCAATTTTCCCCTCCGTAAGCAGCACCTCCATTCACCCGGTGTTTCGGCCCAAACCCTGATTCTCACATAGAAGATGAGAGTGGAGGTACCTTCCACATATCCATCCAGACCACCTGGCCAGGCCTGGCCCTGCCCAAGTGTGTTGGCCAGTCTGCCCTCACAGTGCAAGGGCCCTGCCACCTCTCGCCTGCCCCACTGCCACGGCGTCTGCTTTCAGTGAATTTTC